GGGTTTGAGCAGCCCGCCAACGTTCAGACATGCACAATTGTGTAAACCTCGTCATTTCTCGATGTACAAAACATTCATTATTGTGAGTTACTGAATGTCTTTTTGATTGAATTAATGTTTATGTGTGCAAAATGAACAATACAATTCATTAATAATACGTAGAATATTAAAACACACGAGGAGACGAGACAGCATTGTTTTCGTTGTTTACAAAACCAGTGACTGACTGGTTCTACATATAAAACTGAAGAAAATAAGACCCTGGTTGTAGCTGTAGTAAAATTAATATGGTTGTTTTGAGTAATGTTATTTAATGTTAATAAATGGAACAATGGAAGTAGCTAACCATTAATTGTAAAAAAAATAAGAGAGATCGCGTATGTAAGTGCGCACATGTGAAAACATATCGTCATTACATAAGAATATGAAAGCAACACTTATTTACTGTTCATATATGTTTTAATTAATGTTTCTTTATTTTTTTATTGAATTAATGTTTATGTGTGCAAAATGAACAATACAATTCATTAAAAATACGTAGAATATTAAAACACACGATGAAACGAGACAGCTACCGGCATTGTTTTCGTTAATGTTTACAAAACCAGTGACTGATTGGTTCTACATATAAAACTGAAGAAAATAAGACCCTGATTGTAGCTGTAGTTGTTTTAAGTAATGTTATTTAATGTTAATAAATGGAACAATGGCAGTAGCTAACCATTAATGGTAAAAAAAAAAGTGAGATCACGTATGTAAGTGAGCACATGTGTAAACATATCGTCATTACTTCAAAGGCAAGAACAGCGAAAGCAACACTACCGTATATCTCGCTTATAAGACGGAATTTGAAGCATTAAAAAATCTGCCCAAAGTTAGGGGGTCGTCTTAATCACCAGGTATAAAATTCTTACCTCTTAAATATTGTGGTTTAGTGTGTCAAGAGTGGTGATGGAAACATCGTAAGCCACTCACAAGGTCCTACCACTAATTATTTTATACTGAAACTTACGTTTGGCAAGCTGGATTCAAATTAAGATTACCGGTATATTAAAATAATAAAAATGTATTATAGCCTGTCTAACATACCGTAAAAGAAAATTATACCCCTGTAATAAACACAGCTATCATCACACACCCCTCCCCACGCCCCCCCATTTGCCAGTGAGAAGACAAGAAAGGGAAAGTGACCGCGAGATTGGGCTATTTTTAGCCGTGGAGGTGGTCAGTAATGCATATCGGTATATTTACTGATAATAATACTTATCTCCTATAAATAATTAATTTAAAATTTATTTTTTTACAAGGAATATTCAGTAAATGACTGCGTTAATTCTTGAAACTACCGACAGTTAAATACAGACGCTTAAGTGACGTCACTAGTGTTTACACTACACCAGCTGGTAGCATTTGATGCCATTGCTTGAAGTGAATTGGCCTTATTTTAAGTAACTAACCATAAATAAATACAAAAAGTTAAAAAAAGATCAAAAGTGAGAAATAATATACTGTATGTATGTTGTGTTGTCAAAGTTAGAGGAACAATTCAAACTGCAATTGTGTGTAAATGAGGCAGAAAGTCAGGTCAGCGCTGAACCTGGGACTTGGTCACAATTTTCGTGTTGCCATATGGCAGCAGGGTCTACCATTAGCCAACACATTATGCTTCCAATATCTTCCCAGGCGGTAGTATCTACCTGTTTGGTAGCTGCCTACTACCTACACAATTTTTAGTAATATTACTTTGATACATGATAAATTAGACAAACAATGAAAATAAACATCAAATTTAATTACCAAGACGCTTCCCATTGGCAGCTGTAAGAAGAGGGGGAGATGGGCTATTTATAGCCCGTCTTTGTGTCTGAAGTGACCAGTACCCTAATGCACCATAAATGATTCATTTAACATTTTCCCCATTTTATATATATATATATATATATATATATATATATATATATATATATATATATATATATATATATATATATATATATATATATATATATATATATGTATATGTATATAAATATATAAATATATATATATATATATATATATATATGTATATATGTATATATATATATGTATGTATGTATGTATGTATGTATGTATGTATGTACAATCCGAAAGGGATGATGGATTAGTTGGAAGTGTATCCGTAAAGAAAAACAAATATTTACTTTATATGTTACGTCAATGTTTGGCAACTATAGTTTCCGTCACGACAATATTCTCATTAGGCTGGGTTGGGGAGTGAAGCTCTGCTCACTACATTGAATATTATTTATCACGACGCGTCAAAGAGTACATTACAAATCATACTAGCATAAAAACACACTGAGTGAAGCTCTGTAATTATCGCAATATTAAGTAACACTAACCACCGATTTCGAAGCATAACTCACGGGACAAAACATATGGGGATTGGTGGTCACACTGGACGGTAAAGTAGGCAGTGGAGGCGTATGGTGAGGCGTAGTTAAGTGTAGTGGGGAGGAGCGGAGGCGTGGTTGATCGGGCCAGGCTGGGGCTTTGCGGGACGGGGCACGGAACGGCGGGGCAGGGCAGGGATGGGAGGAAGGGTAAGGAGGGTGAGGTGAGGATTAGGACAGGGAGGAGGATGTAGGTTAAAAGACATGTTAAGTTATAACAGTTAGTACAGACACCGCTTTCACCACTGAAACATTCCTTTGTCGCAAAACAAGTTTATAAATTAAAGAAAATAATTAGTGTGTTTTATATATTACAGTATATTATAAATAAATAAATAAACAAATAATTCGGTAAATCTATTTCAAGTAAATGGAAAATAAGCAAACAAATGTTATTTACCAAGACCCTTCCCTCTGGCTCAGGGTGAGATGTAGGGGTAGATAACAAGGCTATTTATAGCCTGTCTTTGTGTCTGAAGTGGCCAGTACCCTAATGCACCATAAATAATTCATTGAACATTCATTTTTTGTACATATAGTATATTAGTATATATATATATATATATATATATATATATATATATATATATATATATATATATATATATATATATATATATATATATATATATATATATATATATATATATATATATATATATATATATATATATATATATGTTTGTGTATAAATGTAGTAAGTACATACCGGTAACCTTTTTCACTCAAATCCTAATGAAACACCACAATTAGAATACAGTGGTTGCTGTTGAACCACCTGTTGTATAAATAGTCGGAACACAGTCACACCACCGAGACGAGGGAACACTCCCACCACCGATCATCTCGTGCGAAGCAAGCGTATAAATGAAAGAAAATACTTGCATTGTGTTTAATATGTTACAGAATATTATAAATAAATAAATAAACAAATAAATCGGTAAATCCATTTCAAGTAAATGGAAAAATTTTACTCGACACCGACATTAGTTACAGTTACCGGTAAATAGGAGACGTTTCAGTGACGTCACTAGTGTTTGCACTACACCAGCGGGTAATATTTGATGACATTACTTGAAGTGAATTGGCCTTATTTTAAAAAACCAAGGATGGTTGGTAAAGGACTACTGAGTCAGTGGGTAAGTGTCACATTTGGGGTACTGGTCTTATACAGCAAATAGAGCTCAAAAGCTACTTTTTAAATGGAAATTTGGGGGGGCCGTCTTATGCACCCCGACGCCTTATAGGCTGCGATATACGGTATTTACTGTTCATATATATTTTAATTATTGTTTCTGAATTTAAAATGAAAATTCTACCCACCAGTGGTGGTAAAGTTGAAAACATAAGGACAGCCAATGTTGTTGTGTGTGTTTTTACTCGGATGACGAAGTTGCCAAGTCATCAGGTTCAACTCTAGCTGAAGCTGTAGAACATAAGAACTTTTCTGTGTTGTTTTTAGTTTTTATTTAACTTTATCTGTGTTATTTTTGTTGGTTTATTAGGATGTTGCTTTATTACAGGTAGTAATTTGCCAAAAAAGTAGGGCAAATAAGGCCAAATTTAGCCAAACATCGAAAATACAGTACCAGACTCAAATTAATTTTCTCCATGGGCAAACTAAAATCGTTCCGGACCACAGAATGCTGGACTAGAGAGGTACAACCGTGATACAGGTAAAGGAAATTTCTAGAATGAATGGCCCTGTACCAGCCAAGCAAAATACCAGCAACTTTAAAATTACCCTAAGAGATTTTTTGGTACATCCAGGGTGTCATCCAGTCATGAGGTCCGCAAATTAAAATCAGCAAATTTGAAGGCAATCTTGCAAAGTATATTTTTGTGTCAATCCAGAATGCTAAGTCTAGCTTATAACTAGGGCGTGTTACAAATGCCTAGCACACCGCCAGGCTCCATACAGGCAATTAAAACATCTAATAATTACCTAAATCTGTAGTTATTAGGAGGA